AGAAAAATCCAACACATAAATGAGTTCTTTAATGGGTATGAAAGGTGTAGATCTAAAAAAAAAAAAAAAAATTGACAAAAATTCAAAAACCTGTGGAAAAATGCAAATATTAGCGTATTTTTTTTTCTTACAGTTTGTGGCTTTGATACTGATGCAAGGCTAGTGTTGTCATATATTATTTAGTTCTCATAGAATCAGAAATGAATATTTTGACGAGAGCCTGATTCCACCACGCTGCCTCAAATATATATACTCCAAACCCTGTAGGAAAACATTGACAGAAGAAACAGGCGGATGATGCCAATCTCTCGCAAGTGTTGGTCCAAGATGCCATCAGCTGAGGATTAAAATGACGGTGAACGGGCGCGCGCAATTAATGGAGACCACAGAGATGGGGAAAAAAACTGGCAGTGCACGGACAACATAATACTGTGTCATGTGAAGAAGTTAATAGTAATAATAGAGAGTGATCTTGCAAATATATTGTTTCGAAACACTTTTTTATTTGATCCGATAATATGGAAGAGGGATATTGTAATGAATCCTTATGAATGATTTAAAGGTAAACAATCAATGGTCTTGTTGATTGTTAATTATGTGGGTACATTCCCCTTACGATTGTCCAGAGGTCTAGCTTCCTCTCCCTGCCTCGTGAGTTGAGTGAGTGACCTGTCTGTGTGCCTGTCCAGTTGTCAAGTCTGTAACACATCTGAATCCATCCTTGCTAATAAACATGTTTAGTACAGATATGTCATAGGTTTTAAAAATTCAATAAGTCTTAGTCTTAGGTCGGGGTTGTTGTTTTTTTTTTGGGGGGGGATGGGGTTTATGATGATGTTCTACTTTTATAAATAATACATCTGCTTTAGAAATGTCTGTCATTAACGTTATCTCGAAATACGCATTGACTTTACAATTAATTCAACTATTGCACCTTCTCTTTGTTCCTTATCCTGTGGTGAGGAGTGTAGACAGAACTAATCAGGAGGGCTCTCCGTCTCGGCGACCGAGGGATAGATTAACACAGTGTTGTTATGATAGATCTACACCAGTCTGTTGTGATAACCGATCAGGCTGCTGAAGAAAAGAAATCGGTACAGTATTTGTTTCTCACCAAGTAGCGTGATCACAACACTCTGGCCCACACGCTTTCCCCCTCTCCGTCCCCTGTCTCTCTCTGTCTCTCTCTCTCTCTCTCTGTCTCTCTCTCTGTCTCTCTCTCTCTCTCTCTCTCTCTCT